ATGGCCTCCAACAGTCCACGCCATCATCTTCTTCTACCTCCACTGTACCACAGCCTTGCTTTGACTTCCGACGCCAACCACACCTTTCTCCAACAGTCATCCGCGAAGATGTCCAGGCTTCTTGGGATTTTTTCCAATCTTCCACCTGCAACTTTAATCTTTGCCGTTTGAAGGTTTTGCATGCAAAAACCTTCCAAGACCCCACCACAAGCCACTGCTATCTTATGGAATATGTGCTCTTGCCAGAGGTTGAAGGGTAAACCCAGAATCTTGATAACTATGGTCTTCTGCGATATATTCAGTTCGTTACAGGAGGGCGACCAATTTTCCACTGCAATCTGGCCAAGTTTGGTTTCAAGGGTTCTGCTCACAGTCTAAAGTTCGGCCATGTCAAGTATTGCCTTATTCTTTTCAAATGGGATGAGGGTGATTTTCTCTTTTGGCTGAAGCGTCTCCAGTAAGATTTGCAATACTTCTTCCCAATCCTTAACATCTGCTTTCACTTTCACAACTTTCCTCTTAAACCAGTCCCCATTCCTTCCATCCCATATTATTTTTGAACTCGTTATCTGTCGAAAGTACTGTTATAGGAGTAATCTTTTTAGTTTGCTTTTGCTGGTTTGCTTTCCCAGTTTGGCTCTCACTCACCTCCCCAGATTTTTGTTCTTTCCTCATAGTTTGCTCTTAAGTATTTGAGAACTCCCATTTTTTCTGGTTGAAATCATCAAGTGCACCTGCGACCATCTTCCACCCCTATTTAGCTTGTCCCTCTAGAAGGCATATTAGTTGTTTTCTCCCTTTGCCACAGAGCAGACTCTAGGGGTCTCATTGGAGGCTAGAGGGTTGGAAGGGAGGACATCCCACTCACTCACTTACAGTTTGCTGATGATACGATCCTGTTTTGTGAATGAGGTAAGTGAGCTTCATCAGGAATCTAAAACTTGTGATCCATCTATTTGAGCAAATGTCAAAAAAAAACTTTGGGAAGAGTTGTGTAGTGGGTGTGAATCTGGAGGAGAGAGAGATTAGAGAGAGTGCAGAAGTACTTGGGTGTGAAGTCTCAGGGTGGCCGTTGAGTTATCTAGGGTTGCCCCTAGGTGATACTCCTAAGAGAGAGAGCTTTTAGAATCCAGTGGTGGAAAGATTTGAAAAAAGACTTATCCCTTGGAAAAAGAATTACCTCTCTGTGGGTGGTAGGATTACACTGATCAAGGCCACGTTAGCAAACATACCCATTTACTTCCTTTCAGTGTTTAAGATTCCAAGGAAGGTTTGTAGTGGCTGGAGAGGTTGATGAGAGATTTCCTTTGGGAGCTAGGAGGGGAGAAGAGGGACCATAGAGTTAGCTAGAAGGTGGTGACTAGGAGTAAAAATTTTGGGGGTTTGGGGCTTGGGGCTTGGGAATATTGGGAAAAGGAACTTGGCCCTTTTGGGGAAGTGGTTATGGAGGTTTCCTTTGGAAAGGGAGAAGCTATGGGCTAGAATAGTGGCAAGCATACATGGGTTGGAGCAAAATGGATGGGATGCTGGAATCAGAGCAAGGACCACAAGCACTTCACCTTGGAAAGCCATTCATGATCTGCTTCCAGTTTTCTCCCCTCTTGTCAAATATGATTTGAATTCAGGTAATTCCATAAAATTCTGGGAACAAATTTGGGCGGGGGATGCTCCTCTTAAGGACCAGTTTCCTTCTTTGCATGCTCTTTTTGATCTTAAACATGAGCCAATTTCTTCTTTCATCGCGCATTCCTCTTCCAATTCGAGGTTTGGGTGGAACCTGGGTCTGAGGAGGGCTGTGAGGGATTCAGACCTTGATAGTATTTCGAGTCTCCTTGAACTTCTTGATAATGTGTTTGTTGAAGATTAATTAGTTTTATGATGTTTTTTTGAGTAGATGTTTTATGTTAGTTGTTAGATAGGAGGTGGGGATCACAGTAGTTATGTGAGTCCAAATTTTATAATGTTTTTTGATTGTTATATATGTTGTTTTATGTTTTGCCGCCCTATAAGGGCAGAGTTGTCTTTGTACTGTTCTTCTTCTCTTCTTCTCCTTCTCTCTTCCTTCTCTCTTCAAGAAACTACTTTCTTTCATATTTTTTTAATTCAGCA